AAGGAGAACGCTGATTCCAAAATCGCTGTTCACACTTCACAGGTAAGTGTAAGCGGAGCAGTTGAGTAGATACAGCGAATCCTTTGTGTTCACACTGCAAGAGCAGGTGTGAACCGATTTCGGCCTTAGCCGTCGGTATGCCAATAGCGTGCTAGCCAAGTAGTACGCAGTTGGATTCCGAGGGGTGTCCCATCACAAGTTCGGCTGCCGACAGACAAGATTGTCCCTTAGTCGACAGCACCCGCCTTTGGACGGTGCTCTGACTGGCTTTGAGAATATATTTTTCTTTTTGGTTCACATGGCTAGAGGTTGGCCTCCCACCGTTGTGAACATAGTCTGGCCCGGAGATGACTTCGTAGTGGATCCCTGGAAGGAAGCTCTCGGCAGGCTGAAGAGGACATCCATCCTGCGCTTATTGCGGGCGGGCGGGCGGGGCGGGATCCACTTTGTATTCGCCACACGCCTCCCTACCGGTATACATACCGGGGGAGGTATTTCAAGTCTTTCCGCTGCCGCCTTTCTGATTGCCCCCCCTCGGACAACCTTTCGCTTCACACACGGTGCCAAGGGCACAAACAAGAAAGAAAGAAAGAAAGAAAACAGACAAGCCAAGGGCACAAACAAGAAGAAAGAAAGAAAGAAAACAGGCACCCAAAGGGAGGGATGGCACAAACAAGAGCTCAACAAACGCGTTCCCGTAAATTCTTTTTCTGGGCAGGTGCCGCTCATGGCGGACGAGGAGGTTTGCCCCGTCTGCCACGACCCGCTGGGCGACGCGCCCAAGGCCGTGCAGACGCTCTGCGGCCACATCTACTGCGCCGACTGCCTGCTCGAGTGGCTCCAGCAAGCCAAGCGCTGCCCGCTCTGCAACGCGGAGGTCAAGCCGGGAAAGCAGGAGCGCGGAGAGAGCGTGCGAGACCGTTGTCACAGACTGCCACAAAGCCCGGGTTCGCGTCGCCTCATACTCGCCAACTTGGGGAGCTTGCGCCGTAGGACCTTCGCTCGCTCGCGCCCATCCGGGGAGGGCTGCGCG